GTCTACTCTGTGTATGTAGGGGGTGGGAATGATTCTTGCTGTAAGGACTTGTTCCCTATTTTGAGCTACTGCTTCCATAGGTGTAGGTCAAGTTCATCAAATTGTATCAGATTATGCTTTTTTCCCTCTTCTTTCTTCTTCTGGTTGAGCTCTGATCATCTAGTCATTGAAGCCAGGTCAAGAGGGTATTATCTGCAACTGTGGGTATTCTTATGCAGATGCCCTCTCTTCTTATCTGCTGGACACTTCACTCTCCACTCTAGTCCTCTGTAGCTATGTCACTGACTCTGGGCCCAAGAGTCCCCAGGTCTTGCCACACTTGTGGCCAACCAGGTCTTCACCAGGTTTCACAGAAGTCTATTGAACATTGTAGGGCTTAGCTCACCGCTTCATTGCTGTTTTTCCTCACTTCCCCTTATCGGTGACGAACATGGTCACCAATCAGAGCATATATTCCCATTGAGTCTTAGTCTTGGAAGGGGGTTTGCACTGAGGGGACCCGACCACTTGCCTTGATGTTTCCTGGGCAAGCAACTTGCTTGTTCTTGTAGTAACAGTCAGTCTGCCTCTATTGTTTTGTATTTTTCCTGTAGGTTTTTCTTTCAAAAAGTATCTTCTGTTCTACTAGCCACTCCAGGCTGGTCCGCTAATCCTTTCAAGTTGAAATTTCCCGTCTCTGAAGATCTAGATGTGGTTCAGGCTTCCACCTATAGTCTTAGGTATTGCAGAGGCTCCGCAGGAAGCCTCCTTCACTGGGCACGTTGCATAATTTGATTTCTTGACTGCTGCTTCCGTGAGTGTTGATAGTTGATCCAAGAAGAATGAAATCCTTGATGACAACTTCAATCTTTTCTCTGTTGATAAGAATGTTGTTTTGTGGTCCAGTGGTGAGGATTTTTGTTTTTTTTACATTGAGATGTAATGATCCTGGGGAGAGGTAAACAGGACTACTATCATCCCCCCATTTTGTAGATGAAGAAATTAAGCTTCAACAAGCTGAAGGGACTGATGGTGAAATCTATGGCCAAAATCAAAGTCTTTGGACTTCCTGTCTCTAGAACTTTTAAGTCTATACACTGATAACTTTTAACTCATCAGTCAATTCTCCTTAAGTACAAAAACCTCTTGAATTTCTCATCGTCTTTCTGACAATCAATAATTCATTGCCAAAGACCTTCTTGGCCAACTTCTTCAGTTTATAGATGAGGGAGTAGAGATCCAGAGAGGTTAAAGGACTTACTCAATGAAACAAGGCAACTGAGGGGCTCAGTTGGACCCAGTTACCAGCTTTTGACCAGTCAGCAGCTGTTAACCCTATTTCTACAATATTTCCCAGTAGATAAGGAGTCCCTTTTTGGGCTTATTGGCTCTTCTTCAGAGATGCTTGGCTTAGTTTCTCTGGAGTTAAGAAGTGGTTTTCGATTGAAGTGCCATCAGAATCTCTTGCAATATCTTTTATCTATTTATGTTTTTGGACTCTTGGTGTGGTACTGTAGGATCAGCACCAAACTGTGAACCACACAGTCAGTGGTTCCAATCCACCAGCTGCTCCTTGGAAACCCTAAGCAAGGTTACTATGAGTTGGAATTGTCTCAATGGCACTTAACAACAACAACAATTTATATTTTAGTTGTGATGATTAGCTTCCCCATATGCCTTTCCATACCTACAGAATTATAATCACCAAAGAAGAGTTAGGACACTGTATTTTTCTTCTTTTTCTTTTCTAAAAGGCTATCATCTTATTTCATGATGACAATAAATCAGAGATTGGCAAATTATGGTCAGTGGCCAATTCCAGTATACACTTGCTTTTGCTCAACTTGTGAGCTAAGTGTCGTATTTACAGACAAACATTTACAATTGATTTGATGTTAGGAAATATACTACCTTTGAACCTCAAGTAAGTGAAATTTTGATCTTCCTTCCCCCCCAAAAAAGATTCCTTTTTTCTGGTAGTAAGTCTAAATTACAAAAAAATCAAAAACAAAAACAATGTACTCAATTATCTTTTAAAAATTGTGAAAAATGTATTTTCTCTCAAAAGTGGTGGTGGTAGTGGTGTTTGGGGGCCAGCAAGTCAGTTCTGACTCGTAGTGACTCTGTTTAGGTTTCTGAGGCTGTAGATCTTTGTGGGAATAGAAAGCCTCATCTTTCTCCCATACAACAGCTGGTAAATTTGAACTATTAGCTATCCATCTTGTAATCCACTACGTAATCCAGACTTCTTACATGAGCACCTACATAATGTCCTCAATTTTGCTTTTTTTGTGCACAAAGCCTTTTAAAATGTTTACTATCTGGCCCTTTACAGAAAAAAAAAATTTGCCAACTTCTGTAATAGATCATTGTCTTTTTTATTGCTGGCACTTTGCCTTTTCTATATTTGATATATAACTTAAGGGATTTTAATCGTCAAAATAATATATTCTCCTTGTAACATTAAAATTGACAAAATACAATTTGCCCTATCCCTCAGTGTTGCACTTAAGAGTTTGAAATATGTCCTTGTCCTGACTTGCTGTTTACTAGTTGTGGGACCTTAGTTCACCTCTCTTTGCTTCAGGTTCTACATCAGTAAAACAGTGATAATAGCAGTTCCTACCCAACAGATTGAGATAATTTATGTGATGTGCTTAGCACATTGCCTGGTGCACAAGACTTCTTAGTTAATTTCAACTTTTTTTTTTAAAATTGTTCCTTTTAAGCTCAGATACACATACATATGTATATTTCATTTTATAAAAAGAACTATAATTTTTTTTTTTTTTTTTAAGCAGTAAAGTTCCACAGGTGGTTCTGATGTACAACCACCTAAGAACTACTGGAAAAGATAACTGGAAAGTCGATCTTTATCGAAAGTGCTCATGTTTCCTTCCAACTTTTGGCACATGCTAGGAAGAAGGGAAATGAACTTTCATAGCATTGTTGTTGTTGTTGTCAGGTGCCATCGAGTCGGAACCGACTCATAGCGACTCCATGCACAGCAGTACGAAACAATGTTCGATCCTGGGCCAACCTCACCACCGCTGCCACCCCCGAGTCCATCAATGATGCCACCTGGCC